TCAAGACAGAGCATGCTTTGACAAAAAATAATGAGTCAGCATGTTGCATGAATTATTCTTTTTCTAGAGGAGAAGCAGGAAATAGTGAATGCATGTTGTTTGCAATGCAGCACAGTTACATTCTGGGAGGCTTGCACTCTTTGCCTTGACATAAAGTGATAGAAAGCTCTTTACTAATGCAGGTAGCAATAATTATTCAACTCTCTAAAAAAAAAAGGTATCATGTACTAGAGGCTAATCTTAGTATGTCTCAGGTGTTTGCATCATGGGCAGAATCCAATTCTAACTAAGGAGACTGGACTTTGAATCTCTGCTTGCTAGTAAGCCTAACCTCCACAGACAGCTGAAGAGAAAAGGGGATAGCCCTTTACATGATACACTGAAATCCTTGGAAGGAGGTCAGGATGCAAGTATGCAATTTTTTTAAAACTGAAATTTATTTTCCTTCCTAAGATTAGCTGTAATTATAGGTTCAGTTGAACTTTGCAATTTCAGAGTCTAATTAAGCCAAATGTAGAACATTCCCACCCTCCCTCTGAGGGCTGTTTTATGTAGGAGAAAAATAAATATGTATACAAGATTACATGAATGGCTAATTAGCTACAATTACACATGCTGGCTTCCTAAAACATGTACAATAACAGTACAGTTTTTGGTTGGGGTTTTACATGGAAGTATCTCTGTTTAGGAGAAAACATGACATGCAGAAATCAATCTTGTCTGAACAAGAACAAATTGGGATACACTTTCCAAACAGCTTCAGAAATTCTTGGCAGATATTGCCCTATATGTATTGTCTGAGTATTTGTGCTTCTCATACTACACTGAGACAGCTCATTTGATTAAGTGTCCCCTTGGGAATTGTTAGCCAAATATGAGTAAGTTACCAAAACTGCTATTTAATGAGCAAACCATTGCAAAAATTTCTGGTGACAAGGAGTTAAGTGGCACTTAACTAGGTTTTCAAAAGTGTAATGTTCTGAATTCTCCGTTTTTTAAATAAAGAGTGTAGTAATGATAGATGTTATTGCGGGTCATTTCTATTCTTGCATCTCTATTCAGTAGCACAATTTATTTTAATCCAAGTCTTTTCAGACTTTATTAAGTGTCCTATTCTCTCCAGGAGGAGAATAAGCAGCTTAGCAGTGGGCCCAAATGAAGAGACTCCTATTGTCTGACAAAGGAAAAGAAGTATAATAGCCACAATGTTACAAAGACAGAAAAGTGCTTTATTGATAATAGGCCAAGTGCTATTCTGGTGTATGTAAGCCTTTATACTGTTGAATTGGGCTTCAGTCCAATTATATTGATTGCTAATGATGTGAAAGCAAGTTAAATACACATTTTGTGGTTTAGCCTTTGACCAAGATTGCAGACTGATGAGTGTTTTATGAAACAGACTGCATTATAAAAGTCTGAAGAGGGGAATATTCAAAACCTGTGAAGTTATAACAGTAATAAAAAGAAGTACATCCAAAAGTTGATAAAAGAAGTTAATAACATTAATTTAAAGGAAGGGTTACTCAAGTTGTTTTTACACAGTTCCCTTTTATACTACCTTATTTTTATATTGTCTAGTGTATACATTAGTGCCAAAAAGCTTCTTTGCTCTTATATATCAAAATTTGTTAAATAGTTTAGCAGACTGTTACGTAGCATTAAAAACTGTTTATATCAATAGGATGCACATCATTAAGGAGAAAGTAAGATTTCATGCATTACTTTTCCTGCTCTTGGATTCCTGAATGGCCCTATACCTTCTAGGCCGCAGTAGACCAAACAAGCTGGAAAATAGCAACAAAACAGTGATGTAAAATGTAAAAATTTACATCACTGTAAAATTGTCTGAAAAAGCAGCATAAAAACAGGTCTAGTCACCATACAATGCATATCTAATACTGCTAACTGTCTCACTCAAATTGATATACCAACACTTTCTAAAAATAAGGATCACTAATTTTGTAACTATAGGTCAACCAATAATAAGGAAAACAAAATATTTAGCATCTGCCATTTTTCTTTTCCTTCCTTCATCCCCCCTCCCCACCTCCATGCCTCAAATCATTAAGGAACAAATAACCTATTAAATTATCTACTCTTGGGTTCATCAACAAATCAGAGAAGCAAGCCCAGCAGCATTTCATCATGACACTCTCATCTTCGTTTCACTCCAAATAACAATTAAACACTAATAAAGTTCTACCAAATAATCCTTGAGTTGATTGGAAGCATGTACCTGGCCATGCATATCAGGCATCTACACCAACAATTTCTTGATAATTTTGATATAGAGTCTAACATGGCTGTCAATTGTTCAAATGAAACTAGAGTCATTTTCCAGGGTTTCACTCATCAGTTGCACTTTATCATTTAATGGAAAGAGAAAAAATTGTTTAACAAGGCCAGATGCAATGCATGAAAAGGACACAAACAAGAGTGAATGCTTCAGATATCTACACATTCTATAGCCAAACAACTGGTAGGGACAGGACTGCTATTGAGAGTGGTGGTCAGGGCACTGGAATAAACAGAAATTCTATGCCAAACAGAGCCAAATTCAATCTTCATGATTATAGTAGCTAGTCACACTTGCATGTGCTTTATGTTTAAGGTAACTAATATCACCATAGACAAATGGAGCATACAAGACAATCAATTTATTGGAAAATGAACTATACTTATCATCTATTAGAATATATTTGAGTTTATGATACAACAAAGCCTTATGTACTGGTAGGGAAAAGGAAATATTGATGTCTCTATGTGTTTCATAGTTTATAATGCAACAGTAATTTTCTTGTTCTCATCTAATTGAGGAGGGACTCTTTTATAGATATTGCTATCCCATGTACGAAATACTTACATTATTTATGAATGGGAAAAAGGAAAGAAAATAACATAAAAGAGACTATACTGGCACCTATTTACTCATTTTATACAATTTGGTCTGAAATAATGCCAGTAGCCAATGGCAAAGCAGGAAGACCGTGCCATAGAAGGGCCTGGGGCATGGGTACAGGTTTGAAAGACAGAAGCAAAAAATCCATGGACAGTTTCAATTAAAAAGAAAACGATTCCACAGCAAAATGTCTTACCCATATTTGCCTTCTGAGCAATGTGTTGCTAATCACTATGCCCACACAGAAATTCATGACTGCAATGTACTCTTAGAACAGGTCTAGGCAATTGTTAACCTTGCAATATCTATATTTGTCACTAAAAAGAATCCCAATGGAATCAGATGCAAAATGGTGGTTCAGGGATGGAGTCAATTACCTACTACACACAGCAGGTACAAACCTACATTTGGCTTTCTGCATTTAGAAGGGTAAGCTTTTTTCTTGTTGCCATTGTTAAAAAATGGGGAACTGGAAACTCTTGCTGATCTATGGCAAGCGATCCAGCAATCTACCAACAGATGCTGAAAACAAGTTAACATACTGTCAATGTACACTGATGCACAATTCTGTTCCTCCCTCCCCCCCCCCCACTCCCTCTCCCCCGCCCCCAACACACATACTTAACACACGTTTACCTGGCAATTTCTCTGGTTAAATTATGGTAGTGATCTTAACTGACGCAGAAAACTATACATTAATAGTATTTACTCTAGTTTTTGCTTCCTAATCTATTTCACTCCTACACAATAGTCTAGATTAAGAAACAATAGATCATTTGCAACACATTGTATTATTCAACTTAAATCAACTCAAATTCTTAAATGGGAGCACTGAGAATGCAAGTAACATGTATCACTTTGCTCCCTTTGTTCAGGTTAACCTGAAGTAGTATGAAGTAGTAACCTGAACTAGTATACTACTAGTTCATTCCAGTAGTATGACTGGGCTTTCTACTGAAGAATCCAAATGAAACCTTGTCTCTAATGTCACTGAGCATAAGGTACATAATTAATTTCAATATGCACAAAGTAAACCTATGATGAAGATATGAAATAATGAAGCATATTCTCCATACGAACAGAACTCTCACAAAACAAAAAAGGAACCACATATCTAGATAATGGTAACTCAATTACACATGAGAACAATTTACACAAGCCCACATACAATTATACAAAGATCAAGGACAATTTGAAATTCAGTCACCCAAATAATGCACAGCATTCTCCTTTTATGATCTCTCCCTAACGTAAGTTACTGAAGATAGGAAATAAGCATTCTTTGAAGTTGCATCCCTATACTTTCTACAAAACAGATAGTTTACAATCTCAGGAACAGACCTCCTCATGTAGCTCCTTAAGATCTGACTCAAATGTTGCTTGTTCTGCACTTCATACAAATGGTAATATAGAAAAATATGGCAAACTCTCCAAAACTAAGAAAAAGTTTTCTGTTAGATATTTTTGTAAATTTACATGAGCGCCAAGACAGAGCATCAGGCAAATCTTCTAGAGCAGAGGTACACCTGGTTGCTATGTAAGGATTTTTAATGCCATCCAGTTCAAAATCCAGCATCCACCAACCTCCCTGGGCACTTGGCATAGCTGACAAGGAGGAGAGGCTGTAGCTGTGGTGCAGCACCAGCAAATGCTCCCTGCAAAAGGGTTTAGAAAGCTCTACCAAAAGATCAATCACCCGTTAGGTAAGGAGATTCAGGGGAAACTCACTTTTGTGCCCTCTTACCTTGTTTAGCAGGCAACCAGCTGTATTGGGAATTTCAGACCCTTTGAGGGAAAGAGGTGGAAACATTGTGAAGCACCCACCATGCACCCCACAAACAACAGAACACAGCCAAGAAAGCTTCTGTTCCCTAGCCTCACTCATTGTGTGAGTCTCAAGTATGGGACAATGATCTGGTTTGCAACCATAATGCCAAGTTTTCATGTTGTCATTAATCATAATCATATCAGTGCACACAGATTTATTTGGTTAAATAGCTGCCATGGAAGCCCCCATTCAACTTGTCAAAGATCTGATCCATCCATTTCACTACAGTTAAACTACAATTCATCAGCTTTTGAGAAAAAGAACAGATTTTACCTGAGTTTCTATTCCTTGCTCAAGCAACCGTTTAGCCTGGTTTTCCACCTCAAGTCGAGCTCTTGCAATAAACAGAAGGTCGTTTTCAATTACTTCTATTCCAGAGAGATCTATTCCGTGAGAAAGGTAATCTATAAAAGGAATAACATTTTGATGTATTACAAAAATTCTGACAGCAATGCTAATGGAAAAAGTTAAACTTTCTAGGTATGATTTCATGCTATCATTTCATACACTGATATCAGCATGCATTGCCATGATTTGTTTTACAAGTGACAAAACAAAATCATTCATCAAGTTTTGATTATCACAACAGCTAATTTAGTGCATTTATTGCTTAGCTTTCCTGTAGGGAAAGGAACTGCAGGTAAATGTTCCAAAGTTTGGGATTAGAGAGGGAACCAAAGATACATGTGGATGAATGTGCAAGTGTGTCTTCCACTCACACAAGGGCTAATTTACCTGTCACACTAGAGCGCTGCATAAACAGTGAACCTTACGTTCTTCCAATTGTACAAGCTCAAGTATGGGACCTTTTATAGACTCTATTACAGCAGTACTCAAGCAACTGTGTTATGGAATATTACAGCAACTCCACTACTGCTTGTGCAAGCTTTTGTGCAAGCGGCTATTTTCCTTCTGCTCATGGTTCTTTAGAGTCAGCCCAATGACTTCAGGTTACAGTCTTTGCAACATAGATGAGAGAAAAGAAATCCATTCTCAGTTGAGACTTCATATTTTTATAGGTAGAAAAGTGTTTAAGGACTATAAATTTAGAATTAGAAATAGAAATATAGAATTATATCAATGAGCAATTAAAAACTTTCATCAATTAAAAACTGACTAAAACAGGTACCCCTTAATGGGTAGCAGTTTGTGTATGTGTGTTTTTATATAAGTGCTTACAAAACTTATATAGCAAACATTATCTTAAAAGAGGGATTCTCCTTCACACAGGAGAAATCTTCTAAGATGATACACACACACATCATAAAAGACAAAAATATACTTATTTCAGAAAAAATGCACAAATGTGTACAACTCTAAATTGATAGGTCAACCAAATAAAACATAAGATCAATGAAAATTTCTTTAACTGAGCTACATTCCTACTGTAATTGAAATAAGATTGTTAAATAATGAGCAGACTAAATTTTTTGCAACATTTCATACAAAGCAGTATTCAGCTGTGGGAATACAAATGACTGTACAGAATAGCATAGAAATAGAAGTATAGAAATTGGCAATATAAAAGGGATAACCCAAATGCCTAAAAGCTAATGCCACAGTATATAATTAAAACAAGGATCAAAATAAACATGACACTGGACATGTGGCCTTTGCCAAATATGACATCCTGTGCCAAGTCCTCTCCCTCTCCTTGCAATATGCAGTAACATTCATCTCATATTGTGAAAACAAGTATGTTTACTGGTCCTTGCCAATGGCAGCCAGTGATATGGAACAGAGGCAAAAATATAAACAATGCAATGATATCACAAGGGAAAGTGGTGCTATTATGTTATGAGGTGAGTTGGAGAATGGAGTACAACAATGCCTTTTCAATGGCAACTCCATATTCCATGAAATATATAGATCTGCTCCTAAGGAAGTAAAATATAGAGATTATATTTTTTAACAAGAGCAATGGCACATAGTATGGGAAATGGGCATGACTGCTAGATATTTAACTTATATTCAGACAGATATTCGAGTTCCAATTCTCCACTTCCATTCCAAATGGAAATATTACGATCCAGCATTTGAAGCATGAAAATAATTTCCTCTTGCTCAACAGCTCTTAAATGGATAACTGAATATTGCCTGTTAATCTGAAAGCATTCGAGTGCACCTAAGAAGATAAGAGTAAATAGCCTTTACACTGGTGAAGACTATGAAGTAGTCCTAGAACCATGTTACAGGCATATTTCTTCATATTCTAATATTCTTCATAGCATAATAAAAAAATCCTATGTACCTTCCCAGAATGTGATGAAAGCTTCAAAACTTTTGTCACCTTAAGCAAACTAATAATGTACTTCTACAACCACAACAAAACCATAACTCATCTCCTAATCAAAGCCTTCCTTCTGGGGAAAAATACAAATTGCATTACTTTGAATTTTCAAGGTTTTGTTTTTGAAGAAAGAAAGAACCTACCTCAGGATCTGTTTTTGTTCAGAACTCTTAATACTACTTTTCTTTTACAGTCTGAAGATCTGAACCCAAAGCTATTTTGAAGATTATCTATATTAGACACAGATTTGCAGCCAAACATGAGGCTACAGCATGTTTTCACTCAGGGAATCAGAGGACAGAACCTTCCTCTGTCAGTTTTGATACTCAATAGTGATGTTACTTTACATGCATTATATCCATGGATGTTCCCAAGTACCCACTAAACTGATTTCACACCTCTATAAGCCCTCAACCATGGATCCTTTATAAAAATGATTTCAGTATTAAGAAGTTCCAGATGAATTCACAGATATCAAAGTCTGGTCAAACTTTATGGATCATAAACTATCTTCTTAAGACATCCATTAAAAAAAAATCCCATCTCTCCTAATCTGAAGATGCACTCATGCTCTTATTGTATGGCTAACAGGAATTCAAGCTACTAATTTTAATATCCTGTAAACTACATGTATAACTATATATTTGATAGTTATAATGATCAGGCATATTAATCCTACTCAAGATCTAAAATTGTAACTAGTCTGTAACTATGATTAAAGACCTTTTTGCACAGGTTCAAATAAAACTTTTAAACAGTACATTAGAGCTGTACTAGTTTGGTTACTTTACAGGACCAGTTCAAAGTGTTTTGAAGCCTTAAATGGTTTGGGGCCAAAATATCTAAAGCAATGTCATTCACCTGCCCACCTCGCCCACCATATGTCCTCTGGGTGCATTTAGGCAGATGGCTACAAGAAATAGGGCCTTTTTGGTTGTGGCACTCTGTTTATGAAATTCCCTCCCCAAGGAGACTTGCCTGCAACCTATATTATTATGTTCTGTGTGCAAGGTGGAGATTTTTTTTTCCTCTGAAGCCTTTTTAAATTAGGTTTTTATAGCAGAATTTATACATTTTACATGCTATTTGTTGTTTTGGTACTGTTTGTAAGTACTGCATTTTATTCTTACAAAATTTTATTCTTTTGTTATGGGGTGGATTAAAATGCAATAAATAAATCATATGTGGTCCTTTTGGTCTTTAAAGCAAAGCACAATAGATCTGTTTTTAATTGTTTGAGCATTAAGCTAAGAGTCCACTGGCTCTCACTCTAGACTCCCAGAACAATTACCAGACATATGTGATTAGGAAATCAGAATGCTGAACATTCAGTTTGCTTACAACATATTGAGATCTGGATCAGCTCATTATATTTTGGGGCAATGGGTTACAATGATATACAATGATATTCTGCTGAGCCATTTTAAATTTCTGCCTTTAACTCAGGAAGCTTTGTAACTATAGCCTTTTCCTGGTATGATGAAAAGCTAATAATGCATCATGCTGAATACACTTTCACTCTGTTCCATAATAGGGCTCTGATAATGCCCAGGGAATAATTAAAAATCAGAATATCCTGAATGCACAGAGACATGCTGTGGTGTATGCTCACCAGTAACACCTCCAAGATCAACAAAGACCAGAATATGATTGGAAATAGGTATTAACCTTTTAGGCATTTTCAGAAGCTGGATATAGTCTCATGGACCTGTATCAAAAGGGTTTATATTAGTAGGAAAGATAAGCCTACAATATGCTAATGCCATGCAATATGCATAAGCTATGTTAAACAAATGTCAGATGACCTATGACTTAGACTAGACTATACTCAGCATGTTTACATCAAGCACTGAATCTAGAACATAACTAAAGTCTCCAATTACCTCTTTTTGTGACCAAAGTATGTTGATTCTTATGCAAAAGAATGTCATCCCCTCTAACCTGGCTTATTTACAGCACCAAAAAATTACCCCAAAACATTTTCAAGTGATTTACTATTGGCAAATATTTCTTTTATGAAAGCAACATTCTTTCTTTATTGAAGGTTATCTTAGTACTTGTTTATATTCCTCTGGAGTGTATAAACCATTTCTGATCTTTCTACAGTTTAAAGGAGAAATCCACTTAAGTTAGAAGAAGAGGAAATGATGGTTCCAGAGTCTATCTCAAGTGTACCTGGAATTTCAGCGTCTTACAGTATCTTATTTTGTAACATGCTTCCTAACACTATTCATTACTCTGCTATCCTCCATGTATGACAGTGATTCTTTCTTAGGCCCAGGTTCTTTTCAAAGGAAAAAGTCAAAAGCTTAATTAAGAGGCTAGTAAAATTACTACTAATTCATCCACAGAACTTTCTATTAATTCTCCATTTTTCCAAAGTGTCACAAGATGGCTTAAACAAAAAGCAAAGAATGAAAGCATTCTATTGATCCACTCATTTCGTATCATATAATAAAAAACAGATTTATATATATGTGCACCCCTTCTAAACTAAAATGGACAGGAATGGGTGTATTTAATTCAGTTGACCATCAGGTATACTACGGCGGGCAAGAATCCCTCAGAAGAAATGGAGTAACCGTCATAGTCAACAAAAGAGTGGGAAAAGCAGTACTGGGATACAATCTCCAGAATGACAGAATGATCTCAGTTCGAATCCAAGGAAAACCATTCAACATCACACTAGTCCAAGTCTATGCCCCAACCACTGATGCTGACAAGGCTGAAGTTGACCGGTTCTATGAAGGTCTACAACACCTTCTAGAATTAACACCAAAAAATGATGTCCTTATCATCATGGGGGATTGGAATGCTAAAGTAGGAAGCCAAAAGATAACAGGAATAACAGGCAAGTTTGGCCCTGGAGTACAAAATGAAGCAGGGCACAGGCTGGTAGAATTTTGTCAAGAGAATACGATGGTCATAACAAACACGCTTTTCCTACAACCCAAGAGACGACTCTACACATGGACATCACCAGACAGTCAACACAGAAATCAGACTGACTATACGTGCTGCAGCCAAAGATGGAGAAGCTCTATTCAGTCAGTAAAAACAAGACCAGGAGCTGACTGTGCCTCTGATCATGAGCTTCTTGTTGCAAAATTTAGG